GAGGAGAAAACAAAAAGACCTAGTTCATGCTAAAGTATCCAACCATCCAACTCATCTCCAGTATTTGTTTATTATATTACAAGTTACAGTAATGAATTATTTTGTGATTGTGCAATGAAAAGTGAAACCATAACACAATACGATAAATAAAATAAACAATAATAAAATAAGGAATGCCCTAAATCAGTAGCAATTGTCAATAATATAAAAAGCAATATTCTACAATGCAATATATATCAGTATAAACATATAAAATTTAATAGAGAATCAGTTTAAACAATACAATGCTATACAATATTATTCAATGCAATTTTTTTCTCATTTGGAATCTCTTCTGTTGGGTCAACATTCCCGTGCTTCCTTTTCTCAGCATCAGTTCAGCTGTAATTTAAATGTAGGTTTTCTTCCAACTAAACTGCATTATTCCAGTATTTTGTTCAGCCCTTTTTCCCTCCTTCCCTCACCAGTCTGGTATTTTGTAATATCAAGTGAAATAAGATGATTTTTAAATCTCAAAAGCTTGCATATTTGGGGACCTTTCAGTTAGTTAGCCAGGGAATTTCTCTTAAGATAAATTTTGAAATGTTATGATTTTAGCCAGTTTTACCTATGTGACTCCAATGGGTCTCCTGTTGACTCCTTTTTAGCTATTCACCTAGGATATATTGGCAGTATTCATACATTTGTTGCTGGAGCTAAACCTTAAAAGCAAATCCATATGTATTACTCTTGCAATACGAATCTCTCTCAGAAACACCTAATGCAGGTTTTTATCATTTCAGCTGGAATGTATAATTGACAATTAGATTTGTAGCAAAGTTTATAGGGTACTATCAAAATAGGTGCCAACTGATATTTGTTATGGAGCACAATTAGCAGTTTGTGTTTATTTGCATGGAGTAACTAATATAATAGGATGATTACTGATGTGTTCACTCGGCTGAGCTTTAACTGTTTTTGGAGAATGTTTATTTATATCTGTACCATCTGAAAGTAAGTCATCAATACTGGTTTCAGATGGCATTTTATTCTGTATGTCAATTACCACAGAAGACCGACAGACTGTACAAAGTTCATCAGTCATTGGTAGAGTTACTAATTTTGGATTTTTTTCTTGATTAAGTTTCAAAGCATATTTATTACAAAGAATAAGAAAACCACTCAGCAGGAATAAAACCGCAGCAACATACCCAACATAAATAGCAGCTCCAACCTGCTGCTCCTTTGGAAAAGTAGGTACTCGGAAAAATTCAGGAAACACAATTCCTGCGTTATTCAGGACAGAATACAGATTCCAGGAAATTGGAATTAAGATCATAATACCTGCCATTACGTTCAGAATGCCACCAAGACTAAAAAAGGTAAGCAAAAACGTTCTTTGTGTGATGGTTTTGAAAACATTCCATAAAGCGAAGGTCATGAAACATATCGCCACTGCTCCCACAATGCAGCCCAAGGACATGAGATCCTGAGCCAAGAAAATTTCCTTGGGGAGGGTCTTGTAGTCCTCAGTGAAATCTTCACAGTGTAAAAATATATTTTCTGAATCACTCCCATACATGTAACAGACTCTCCAGATTCCAACCCATACCACACCAGAAGGATTGCCTATCAGATTTTCCACATGCCATATTCTCCACTGTTCAGCTGCTGTTGAAGTAATACACATAATCCATCCTAGAATACTCAGCAAATAACCACATAACTGGGGACCAGAAATCCAAGCTGCCCATTTTGTAATCATAGATTCTTTTTCGTCTGCTACTTTCCCATCAAGTGGTTTGTTGGTCTTGTAGATAAACTTAGCATCCCTGAAATCAAATCCAAACAAAAGAGCACAGCATATATTTGTACTATTATGCACGCACTTGCACATTAATACATGAATAACCTAGGTTTGTAAAGGACTTCCACCACTGATTCCATTGGGAGTAAATTTCCCTCCCATCTGCTTTCTTAGCAATATAAATACTGCTTTTTCCCATTCAAAAGTCTGAAAAATAAAATACCCTAAAAAGATTTAAGTTGCATACAAAAAGCAGTACTTTTTAAAAGGCTTAAACCAAAATATTGGCATTAAATACCAGTCAAATAGCCAACTGTCAAGAAAAAAGCAGGGTATTATGTTAACCGTTACAGAACTTATGACATGCATACAAATGTCAGATATGTTATGAGTATCAAAAGAAATCCTGCCCCTCACATTAACATAGTTTAATAATTCTTTCTACACACTATAAACTGAACAGTATATATTATTTAAGTATTAAACATAAATCCAACTTAGAATACTAATAAAAAGTCACATAACTGAAACAAGAAATCTGGGCCACTTACTTTGTAGCTAGAGGGTCTTCATCACTTCTCCCTTGCAATCCACCTAGTGCGTGAGCCATGGAGGTGGTTGCAAGTTTGCTGAAATGGAAATAAAATGGAATCGCTTTTATTTATACAGATGCATGTGTCTGCAATCCCTAATGACCCATAAACAAGGGTACGGCATAGTAGGAAGAATTTCTTGGATAAATGGAATGTCTGTGATAGATGTCACAAATAAGTCTTCTACACCAGGGTTTCTCAACCTCAACAACTTTAAGTTGTGTGGACTTCAACTGCCAGACTTTCCCAGCCAGAAGCACTGCTCTAAATTACTCTCTGCTTTGGGGGCTGATCCAAATACTCTTCCACCAGCAGCCTGCTTCCTTTTCTGTAGATTACTCTCTTTCTGAACACCCTAGCAATATCTCTTTAACCAGTTAAAAAGTTAAATTGTGATTTTCCACTAAATATAAATACATAAAGAACCATTTAATTGTTATTCCAGGAAAGAATAGTCTAAGCAGAATAGTGTTCATTAAGAAATACTAATAGTAGTAGTCACCCACTGACTTTACCACAAACCTCAGTTTTGGCTCCTGCAAATCTAAAGGGAGGTTCCTTTAAAAGAGCAGCCACATTTTCAGCTAGATCCTATTACAAACAACCTGTAATAATTTATCTGAATATAAATTCACTTGCTTTCTAATGTTGGGAAACCAGTGGCTTTCTAGAAGTTGTTGCATAATAATTCTAAATATCCTTCACACTTGGCCTGCTGGGAGAAGTCACCAGTAGGTCATGTTCAGCAGCATTTGGAAGGCATCATTTCTCCATTCCTTCCTAAATTAAGGAGGTGGGCTAACTTAGCCTGTTTATAAGCCATCTGTATTTCAGCTGGAGCTGAAAACACTCAGAGAACTGGAAACCTATGGTCTGTTAAGTTTCACAAGAAGCCAGATGAGGAACAAATACCTATTGGAATATTAATTCTATGAAGCTATGCAGAACCTGTACAACTGTATATATAAATAAACCTTTATATACATAGAAACATTAAGTCATCAAGGAGTTCCTTCAAGGAATGGACCTTCAGGAATTTCTCTTTAAAAAAGGATACACACATGTACTTTTAATAATCTTCTAGAAACTTCCTAGAGACCTTCTGAGTAGGTTTGATGCTGATTCACTTTTTGATGCTTTCTTTTAAATGGCTATTATGTCATTATCTCCCTCTGGTCGTCTTCTGTGTCTTAGCCACTCTTCCATGTTTCCTCTCTTCTTGTAAGTGTTAAGACTTAGTTCAGCTTGGGAGCTGGTTTGTGATATATTATAGTTCTATTCATACTCATTTCTCCCATTTTGAATTCAATCATCAAATCAAGGTTGAGAGAAGCATACCGGATCTTTGGCCAAATTTGTTTCTATTTCAATTTTTTAATGAGAAACTAGAACTTCAACCCATCTCATTTCTTTTCCAATCACAGCATTTTCAAGACCAGTGTTGCAAGTATATATGTTCAGTCCCAAGACCTTGCCTAAAAATAATTTTATAGCTGTTATTCTATATTCTGCCAAACCATTTTCATTTGTACTTGGGATATCATGAACAAAACTTCATCCTTGACTTATTTCTCTTTCTGATAATCTAGAATTTAAAACAGGTTATTACACTTGTGAGTTGGCATCTAACAAATTGGAGTAATTTACCAAAGTTGAAAGGACAAGGCCATTTCTCTTAGAGATCCCTGGATTTCTAGTCCCAGTTCTAGGTGGTTTTTAACCAACCACTGACCCTCCCTCCTTCAAGTTAAACTTCAAGCACTTTGTAAACCCCTCAAGTACTGAGAGCTGCAAAAGCTGTGGCCCCAGTGAGACAAAGCAAGAAGGTGCTTGTCTTTCCCTTCAGATCTAAAGCTGTATTAGTGACCAGTAGAAGAGTATTGGATTTTCCCTCTTACACATGCAAGTTTTTCTTTCCCTAACAGCTCTGTTTTTCTTTGAAAACTTTGTCCGTGGCTTCCATTCTGGATAGGAAATATCATTTAGAATCACAGGAAAGCAGAAAATTGCTTTTTAAAAATGATCTATTGTTAAATATTAGATTATAAACTGGTAAATCAAACAGAAGGGCTTGTAGGAAAAATAAACTAGATTTCTACCTGGTTCCAAGTATCAACAAGTCACAATTTCTTACAGTATGGTAAAGAGAAAATTGAATACCCTGTTATATATGCAGTGGGCCTTGAGTGAGCCAGTATTGATGTAGCAGGTAGCTTCCACAACAGCAGAAGAATTATATTTGAAGTAAAAAACAAAAATTCCTCAGCTGGTGGCCACAGACTGATAGTTGCAGCAATTTCTCCTTGTCTAATGTCTCATGACAATTTGTCTCATGACAATTGCTTCTGTTTTTAACTGTCATTGGACATTCCAACTGTCACTCCTCAGCTACCAAACAACGGAATTCCAACGACAAATTTCAGTGTACAGTTTCCATCTTTCTTTGAAATTAACACACACATTCATATACAAACAAAATAGAAGAGTCCAATAAAAACAAACTTCCAAGTTGCCAAAGTGTCAATGCTTGTTCAGTCCTGGGATGTAATGTAGTCTCAACTGAAGATGGTGTGCTGAATGTCTTGCTTGTCCCTCAGCCTGCCATTTGTTTATCTCCATTGAGTGCCCTTCTAAAGCAATTTAGAAGTGCAAAATGTTCAAAAGAGGTGCTTTACAACAAACAAAAGGGATCAAAATGTCCTGTTTCAAAAGAGCTGAAAACAAAGAACCAATAGTAGAGAAGGTGGGGCTGAGGTGCACATTTTGGGCTCTAAGTTATGTTACTACTCCAAAGAGGATTCTAACACTATCAAGCTTAAAGAACTGAAACAAGATCTGAAGATGGAATGGGATAACTCCTTTTGTTGCCTTTAAAACTCAGGCACCCCAAGTGGAGTGGAGCTGAAGACCTATTCCCTGAATTTGGGAGAGAAAACAATTTTACCTTTGCAAAGGTGGCCTCTTAGCCTACCTGAAAATACAAACCACGCAATAATTCAGGCAAAGCAAAAAGGATTTATTGGGGGGGAGGGGTCAAGTCTTTTTATAGAGTACAGAAACAAATGATACATACATTCAGTATATGTGATACGTCAGAAAGCAAGTAATCAAACAACAAAAGACATTGATTACACGTGAGAATTGAACAATAGGAAACATTGATTCCAGATAACATTCCCAAGTGGTAAATGTATGGGTTATGTCACTCCCTTTCCCAGCTGGGTTTGTATCTGTAAAACTTGCAAGTGTATTGCTCTCTATTGTTTAGTTGCTGAAAAGGCAAGTTCTCAAATATACCAAAAGAAATGGCCTTGGCCCAGAAATAAAACATGCTTTCCTAAAGTTAGAAAAGAGGCCTAGATTTCCATGTTAAAAATTGCTAATGTCACCTTTTTAAAATGATAATAATGAAGCCTAAAATACTGGGTAATTACTGAAAATTACTTCAGTAAAATAGGTTTTACCAGATATGTCTGAACGCATTAATAAAGCATTTAAAGACTTATCAAATAAAATATCAGACATTGTTCATATGACTGGTCAATCCTATAATTTAAGTAGAAAGAATGCCTATAGGAGATGATGATGATGATGATGATGATAAAAGATAAAGGTGGAAAAAGACATTATGGATGTTAAAATCTCTTTGGCAGATGCTAAAGATCATGTCAGATGATATTAGAGGCATGGTAAAAAGTTGAAAATAATATGGTAGATTATATTGTAACAAAATGACCTCTTAATGATCTCTTCCCAGATCTAGAGTCAGTTTGGTATAATGGCTAAGGTGCTGGACTAGAAATCAGGAAACTGGGAATTCTTGTCTTTCCTTAGGCATGAATGCTAGCTGGATAACCTTGGGCCATTTACTCACTCTCAGCCCAACCCATCTCACAAGGTTGTTATGGGGAAACTAGGAGGTAGGAATATTATGTACCCTGACTTGAGTTCTATGAAATAAAGGTGGGATATAAACATCATCACCATCTACATTTGTCTGAAAAGGACACAGTAAGTATACAAGGAGTTCAAAGTTCCAGGCTTGCAAAGTTGAAAAAAATCAAGATATATTATAATTAAGTTTCTTAATGAACATACCAGAAGTAAATTTGTTCAGGACGCCTCCAAAATGAGGAAATAAACTAGGGAGGAGACGAGATTTTGTTTTTTCAAGACATCAGTCAAACTACTTTACAAAAAGAATTGCATTCAAGCCTCTAACAGAAGTTCAGTGTGTGGTGTTTTCCCATGCTCGTGCTTCTCATGTACCATGTTCCCACTGTAATTCTGTCTTGGTAGCTTTAGATTTTCTTTTCTTGCATGGCAACCTCAGAAACTAGACATCCCAAAGGCTTCAATCTAATTGGATCATAAACATGATTAGTACTCTAAAACATCCCAGTTCTTTCTCAGTGGCATGTTAAGAAGCATCCAATCCATCATTTGCACTATATTGTCAATCACTTTGTACTATCCATCCAGCTGGTTTTCTTAGTAAAATAAGTAGTGGTTTACCATTGCCTTCTCCTTGCGGTATAAAATGATACCTTTGCTATTGTTCCTAAAGTGATCACTCACCTCCAGCATCTTCCTATATCTCTGATGTCTGATATAGGTGTCTGCTACCTTTAACTGGGCATTTGAGTTGGCCTTCATGCCTTGGCTGATCCTACTGAGAAGTATATTCCTTGCTGATCCTATGAATATCCCCCCCTCCCCCAATATAACAGGACTTGAGGGTGGGCACTTTTTAAGTAACCTGCTCCAACTACGTCTGACTTACTTTCATTACTTCCTTATAACATAATGGGGAGGAACACACTATTTTACACAGCCATTTTCATTTCTTTTGACAAATATTCATTCTTTGCAATGGACCACTTATTACCCACGTTTCTGCCAGATCTGGCATATCTTGAAATTTCTTCATCCATTTCCTCATCTTTAGTAACCATTGTATCCTTTTAATCAGAATGTTCTAAGGTAGATTTAATGAACTAATTGATGACATTATATATTATTTATATTTTAAATATAACGAATTATTAATTCACAAAATTATTCAACTTATAAGAATGGCATCTTGGCAAATTAATATTTGTGAGAAAACTATTATATGTGAATTGTGTAAGCATTTCCTATAATCCTATAAACTTCAAAACCTGAAATGTAACCTATAACCTGAAGATTGATTTATTTGTTCTAGAGTTTCAAAGGTTTTCATTTTTCAATTTTAGACTACAAGTAATTTATATTAATTATGGAAAGTACATAGACATGGTATATTTACTTTTATTGATTAATCAACTGACCATATCAAAATGCAGGGCAACACCTATATACGAAATTGTAAAATAAATGCAAATATACAAAATGGAGTACAAATAAATTCATTATCCTTTTGCATATTATCCCAATCTGTTTTATAAAATGAATTCTTAGTTGAATGGCCTTGACTATGAACTTGGGATCCTTCTAGTAACAAACAACTTTACACCCTGGAGGAAATAAGATATCTAATGTCAGTATCCCAAAAAGTTGTTCTGTCAAATAGTGACTCTAACTACTTTCCTCTTACTGAAGCATACAGGTGGCAGTCAAACATAACTTGCACAATATCTTCTATATCTAAAGCTCAACATATGCACTATCTCATAGTAGGGGGATTGATAAAATCTCCCATATTTCATCATAGAATCTAATAGCTCAAATATTGCTCTAGTAAAAGCTGTTCTTTGATACTGTGTCATACACATAATTATGTATTTTTCTATTTGAAATACCTTCTTATTCTTAGCCAATCATTTTAAGGATCTAATATTTCCAAGAGATTCAATGTCCTCTGTTTTAGACATGGCATATACTTTTACAAGTGAAAAGGCTAATTTATCACATTTTAAGTAATTAAATTTGTAGGGTGCCTGACTCCAGCCAACTCTGGTCTATTTTGGGGCACAATATGTCAAAGGAAGAGAAGAACAAAACATTCATTTGAGAAAAGGCAATCTGCCAGTGATTTACTTTTCAGAGAGAGAAAAGGAAAAGGAAAAGGAAAAGGAAAATGGTACATTAATGTGTTAGATTTATATTCCTCCTATTCTCTGGGTGCTGAAAGGGATCTCTCACTGAGCAGCATTGGGCTTCAGGGTTTAGCGACCATGGTCTAGACAACAGATTTCCTGACATTCTGCTGACAACTGTGGCTGGCATCTTCAGAGGCAAGGTGGACAGCTGCAGATGCCAGCCACAGTTGCCAGCAAATGTCAGGAAATCTGTTGTCTAGACCATGGTCGCTAAACCCTGAAGCCCAACACTGTCAAACAGATGCCAGCCATAAAAGTCTATTCCAGGATCTCCCTTTGTTTTTTTCCCACAAAATCATGTGAGGTAGGTTGGGCTGAAAGTGAGTGACTAGTCCAAAGTCAGTCACTGAGATTCCATGACTAAGGGTGGACTTCAACCTTGGTCACCCCGGTAGTCCAACATACAACCACTTTACCACAATGGCACACTGCTGTTTATGAAGACCAGCACTCATCTCTAGCTTTAAGTGCCAGACAAAACTAAGCAAACCTACACAGTGACTATATACTAAATGATCCTGAAATTTGAGAACTTGTAAATAGATAATTATCAATACATAAACAATACATAAACCTCTGTGCTATTTGTTTTCCTTGGATTTTTTTTATTATAAAAGCTTTCCAAAATAATAGCCCTTCTTAGTCAACAGCAGCTTTAAGAAATGGTTAGAAAGACTCAATTTCACATATTTACTGGATATCCTAGATATATAATGAAACAATATCTGCCTGTTCCTTTTCATAACTCACAATTTTAAGATGCTGGTTGACCTATAAAGCCCTTAATGGTTGGCACCTGAGTATCTAAAGAGCTGTCTTCTCCCAAAAAAAATCAGCCAAACATACTAGATTTCATTAGAACAGCTATTAGTGGTCCTACACTTCTA